AATAATATTACATCAGAAGATACTAACAGTGAACAAACAAAAATAGTAATAATTTATATTTAATTATTTTTTGAATTAAAATATAAAAATTATTTCCTCCTCAATTAACAATCAAATTAAACTAAAAAATATTTTTTTTAATTTTAATTTTCAAACAAATATTAAAAGGCTGAAACAGAGAGAACAATATTAGAAACAAATGGAGGAGTATTATCCCCAACACCTTCTCAATTTAAAATTTTAACAATAGAGGGAAATGGAAATAAAAAGCCTATTAAATCAAACAATTCAACTGATGATGATGATGATTGTTGGAATAATCCAATGTTGATAATAGAAACATTCCAAATAATTTGTAAAGAATTTATTATTAAATATAAACAAGTTTTGAATGGAATTGTGAAACTTGGAATTTTGTTGGGTTATCATTTATTTTTAGGTAATTATAAATAAATAAAAATTAAATTAGTAAATAATTAATTTAAATATTAAATAAAAATTTAATTAAATTACCCCTCATTGAGTGGGCTTCTAATAGGGCATGGGCTTCTATTAGGAATGGGCTTTTATTAGGGATGGGCTACTATAGGATATTTACGATAATTAATTTAAAAAATCCTTACACATGCTTTCCTTATAATTCTTTAATTTTTCATTAATTTTTAACACCAATAATTTATAAATTGATTAAAGTTTATTTAGTATATATTATCTCGAATATACTCAAATGTTTATCTTAAATTCAAGTATTCCTATCTACATGCTAAAGCTAGATAGTAAATCAATCCTAAAACTTTAGGATTATAGGAAAATCCCTCTCAAAAATTCCTCTTTCTTTTGAAGGTGTCAGAAAAATATTAAAAAAAAAAATTATTTTTAACAATAAAAATTTTTAAATTAAAGTTTTGGCACTTTTACATGATTCAAACAAATCATTTAATCTTGCTATATTTACTTCAATATGTTGGCTTTATATTTTTTATAGAAAATTTCTGTTACCTTTTTTGAAAGCAAGAACTAAAATAATAACTAGAAGAAGACAATATGCTCAATTTTATTCTTTTACTGAAGCTATTAAAAATAATAAATCATTAATAAGGCACATTAAATATATTTTAATTTTTTTTTAATTTAAAATATTTGTAGATTGTGCAATTTATTTGGATTTCTTATTCCACTTTCTTATATGATTTGGGATTGCAGAAAGTAAAAAATAAATAAATATTTAATTAATTAATTCATTTCTAGTAGTGTTCACCGTTTATCTGGATTATTTGGTCTCACTTTTTTCTTTCTTTTAATGTGCCTTTGTTCTTATAAACCAACTAAAGTATTTTTTAAATAATCATTTTTCTATCTAATTTTACAATAGATCAAATGGCGCCCAGTCCTTTGGGGATTTTTGCTTCAATTTATTTTTGGAATTATTGTACTACGTTGGGTTAGTTAATAAAAATAAGATTTTAATCTTATTTAAAATCTAGGAATGGGGTGCCAGTCGTTTCATTGAATTATCTGATATGGCTATGATAATGCTAGATTTCACTTATAATGGAACAGATTTTACTTATGGTTTTCTTTCAACACCTCCAAATATTTGTGGAATGGAGGCAGTTGTTGCTTTTAGGGTTAGAGAATCCTTTTTCTATTTTTTGGAAAATATAATTATTTTTTAGTTTCTCCAAGTAATTATTTATGTTGGTGCTCTTGTCTCTGTTCTTTATTTTTATGGAATTATTCAAGCAGTTCTAAAAAGATTAGCTTGGTTAATGCAATTTACTATGGGGACAACAGCCACAGAATCTTTAAATGCTTGTGGTTGTGTTCTTTTAGGAAATGTATTTCTCTTAATTAAAAATTATTTTTAAACTACATATATTTTTAAGGCAGAATCTCCAATGCTTATTCGTCCTTATATTGAGAAAATGACTAATTCTGAATTACATGCAATTATGACTACTGGGTAATTTGTGAATTAATTAAATAAATGGACAGACAATAATTAAAATATTATTTCAGTTTTTCTTGTATTGCCGGTTCTGTTTTTGCTGTATTTATTAGTTTTGGCGCTTGTCCTCGTTATTTACTATCAGCTGCGGTAATGGGTGCCCCTGGCTCATTAGCCTGCTCAAAACTTCTTTATCCAGAAACTGAGGAATCTATAACTAAAGGGGTTGATGATTTGGATTTACCGCCGAGGTATTCCTCACGAAAAATTTTTAATTAAAACAAAAAATTTTTTAAGTAAAGAAAGGAATGCAATGGAATGTGTTGCTTCCGGTTCTTTAGAAGCCGTTCATTTAGTCACTGCTGTACTTGCTAGTCTAATTTCCTTTGTAGCTATTATGGCTCTTTTAAGTGGTGTGATTGATTATGCCGGCACTTTAATTGGGCATCCAGGGTGGAGTTTGGAGATGTTATTTGGATATGCCTTTTTCCCTATTGCCTACTTAATTGGAGTAACAGAATTTGAACAGGCTTTGGTTTTAATGATAAAATAATTTGTATTTTTAAAAATCAATTTTTAGATAGTTGGAAGATTATTGGGTGTAAAAATAGCAGTCAGCGATTTTATAGCTTATAAAAGACTTGGAGAAGTTCTCCATCTTTTAACGGTTTTAAAATTAATTTAAATTTTAATCAAATATAATTAGCCTCGTTCTGCAATGATTGCAACTTATGCTTTATGTAGCTTTAGTAATTTTATTGCTGCTGGTGTACAAATGTCAGTACTTGGTGGAATGTCTCCCCAAAAGAAACCTTTAATCTCTAAATTAATTATGCGTGCTTTAATGGCTGGTTGTATTTCTTGTTTTGTTTCTGCTTGTATAGCTGGTAAATTAAATATTTTGTTTGAAAATACATCAGCCCTTAAATTCTTATAATGAAGATTAAGTATTGCTTGTAATTTTAAATTCAATATAAATTTAAAATTTAATTAGATTAATTTATAATTAGCCTCGTTCTGCACTGTTAAACACAACTGGGAAATTTTTGACTTTTGAACTGTTCTTCATAATCTTAGCTAGAATATCATTCGCTGATTGTTAGAATGATTCCACCAACCCTTTTTTGAAATTAGTTTTGAAATTAGTTTGTTATGAATAATGAAAGTTAAATAAAAAGATCCCTTGCCCAAATCATTAAATTAAATGTATTCCTACATCCTTTAATCTTAGTTTATATATTTTTAGGTATTTTAATAGAAGATCCCATACTTTGCCAAAGAACATATGGCACAAATTCAGGGAAATGTTTTGATATAAATGAACATCAAAGATTTATGGAGGAAATTATTAAACAGAGGAATATTACTGGAAATATTATTTAAATTTTTTTGTAATTTTAATTTTTTTATTTTTCGATATTGCTTTAAAATATTTTTATATGTATAATATATTTTCTATGAATATTAGAAATAAAGTTAAATTACTTTAAAAATATTTTTATTGTATTTAAAATCATTTATTTTTCTACTAAAAAAATTTTGTCAAATTTATTTAATATTTCCAAAAAAAATTTTAATTAATTTCTATTCAGAATTTTATATATAGTACGTAGAATAATATTTTTTTTAAATTTTATTTACAAAATTTAAACATTATCAACATTATTTTCCTCGTTTCCATTTTTAATTTGTAAAGGTTCGTAGGCAAACATTGAAGACTTTGTTGTTGTTTTAACCCAATGTAAATCATTCCAATTAGAAATATTTAATAACATTAAAATTCCAATAATTAACGGCACAGTTATTAATAAAATTGGAAGTAAAAATAAAGAAAAATTAATTGAATTATTTGTTTCTGTTTTAATTTTTGAAGAAAATTTTGACGGGCAATTTTGAGGGAAATTATTAGAAGTTGTTTGGATAAAATCTAGAGCCTCCAAAGGGTGTTGCCAATGAAAATTTGTTGAGCTATTTAATTTAGGAACACAAATATAGCCTTTAGGTTTCTGAAAAAAAGTTTTAAAATTATTTAAAATTAAATAATTTTTTTACTTCAAAATTAAAAAAAAATTGATAAAAATATTAGGTAAATTAATTATTAACAGAAAAATTAAAAATAATTTATAGTATTACCTCCAATTCTCCAACTATTTTTATTAAACGTTCAGGCATAGGACAAGCACAATCTAACGGATTCCCGTCTACTTTTAATTCTGATATTCTTTCAATTTGTGTTTCGCTCCAATCCCAGCCCAGTTTATTCAAAGAATTATTCCGAAAATCATATTGAAGAAATCGCTAAATAAAAAATTTGATATTTATGTTGTCTTTACACAATTTTGTGGTTAGATATTTAGATAGCATATGTAGTATGAAACTCACTAAAAGTTATAAAGTCTAAAATAACATAGAGGGATTTAATCAAATTTATATTTTTGCCAAAAAAGTGTTAGACTTATTCTAACGGTTAGGGTTGCCGTTTTTTGCCGTTTCTTTGGCTGGGGTTTTCGCGTTTGGGGGGTTTTTTCGGGCTAAACAGCTCAGGCTTTAAAGACACCCCTAATTATAGTATATCTTTATCTAAACGTGTTTTTAAATATTTAAATAAAAAAAATATTTACATTAGTTGGCAATAAATATCCAGGAACTTCAGTTAATTTATTTCCACATAACTCGAGAGATCTAAGGAGCAAAAACTTGCTAAAATCGGGCATTTCTTTAAGTAAACAATTATTTAATTTAATAAACATTAATTTAAAATTTGTTTTTCTTTTATTAATTTGAATATTAATTCCTTTGTTTTGATTTAAATATAAAAACACTAATGAAGGTAACCACTCAAATGAATTAAATATTTTCAATTGATTATTTGATAAATCAAAAACTTCGATTGAAGGAAGTTCTTCTTTAATTGAGCTGCCAAATTTTTGGAGTTGATTATTTGATAGATTTAGATAGGCAAGTTTTGTTGGGATATTTGTTAGTGAAGATTCTAACTGGAAATTTGTTAAATATATTTTGAAGGACAAGCAAAACCAAACAAAAAATAAATTCAAAAATAATTGCAACTTGCCTCGAAACGTTTAAGTTTATTTCCAGATAAATCCAACTGTTCCAGGCAAGGAAATAATGTCATTAATAATTTTCCATTTTCTGGTAAATAGTCAATTAAATTGTTTGCCAAATTTAAAGTTATCAATGAATGGCTGACATCTAAAAGACTTTCTGGCCATTCTTTAAAGAGATTTGAATTTAATGAAACGGATAAAAGTTTTTCTGGCCCAGAAGACTCGCCAAAAATTAAATGGCCAAATTTGTTGTTATCTGCATGTAGCCATTTAAGCTTTTTACATCCTCTAAAATTATTAATAAATTATTAATCTTTTGATTATTAGTAGGAGTATTCCACGGAAGTAATGACAAGGTTAACTATAAGAAAAATACAAAGAAAAAACCTTAAATTTAATTCATAACCAATTCCAATATTCCCAATTTCAAGCAATTCCATATTTAACGAGCAAAATGTCCAAGGATTATTTTTTAAATTTAATCCTTCATTATTTTCATTTATTTTTGAATTATTTAAATAAAAATTGTTTTGAAATGCCGATTTAAATATTTTTGTATTTTTTAATTTAAATTGTTTTAATTTAATTTCTGGTCGTTTAGTCCATTCAAAAAAGAATTCTTCGGGAAAATAACCTCCATTAGAAAAATCAAATATTTCAAGGGAGGCTATATTCTCTAAAGCATTTGGATGAATTTTAATATCCTTATTTTGATCAACACGTAATTCTTTCAAAACTTTCCAATTATTTTGAGAAAAAGGTAAAATACAAAAAATATCTGATGAATTTTTTGACTTTGAAGTTTTCTGAAAATTTAATGGATTAATAATTTCCTCAAAAGATACAGGAGAAGATACTTGCGGCCAGACATTTTCGGTTATTTACCTTGAGGAGAGAGGAGGAGGCTAATTATCTGTGTTCCCGAATTAATCTTATTATTAAATTCTCTAACCATTTTAAATTTCCATTCATTTTCATTTATTTCAATAAATTCACTTTGCATTTCAATAATATGAATTTGACGTGAAAGAGGTAAAGATGGCAATAATATATTTGTTGATTTAAAAACTTCACTTGTATTAAAAGAGCAAAAAGGATTTCTTGAGATAACCAAACTGTCGAGTATTTGCCCTTTACTTCCTAATTGTCCCCCAATTCCTTCCAATCCGTTAATTTTATTTCCACTCAAATCTAAAACTTTTAAATTTCTCAAAGTTTGGAGAATATTTTTTGGAAGTTTTTCGATTAAATTGTCAGACAGAATTAATTTTTCAATTCCAGGAAGTGGTTGAAATGCTAATGGATGTATAAATTGAAGATTTGAATGTTTAATTTGTAGTTTTTTAAGACCAGAATGCATTGAAAAATGGGGGAATTCTGATTGAGTTAAATTAAATGCTTCAAATGTTTCTGTCCATTCTGGTAGTCTTACCTTTAAAAATTAATTTAAAAAATATTTAAATTAATTAAATGACCATATTTAATCTAAATTCTTCTCCATTATTCCCTTTAAAACAATCAACAATTTTTAGTTCTTTATAGCATCTACAAACTTGACAAATTGGATATTCATTATTTAATTCTTGAGTTGTTATTATATATTTTATATTTAAAAATGATATAAATATCAAGAAATGAAACATTTTTGAAGGGAAAAAATTAAAGTAAATGTTGATTTTTGTAAAAAAATAATAATTATTAATTGTCACAAATTTACAAATAGGTAAATAGATAGAAAAGGTAATTGATTTCAGCTTAAAAATTATCAGTTTAGTTTTTAAATAAATAAAATATAATATTAAATTATTTAAAATTAAATACTAAAATACATAAATATGTAAATAAAGTACATAATTTTAAAGTTTAAGCAGAGGTGGATCAGAACAGTCAGAGGTGTAGGAAATCGGAAGAGCCGGGTATCTGAATTCCGACTCAACTCGATTATAAGTTAATCCTAAAAATTTAAAAAAAGATAAAAAAAACTTGAGATAACTCTTTGTAATGCTTAACTTAAAAATAAAATGTCAATAAATAATTTTAAGGATTTCCAAAATATTCTTTCCTTTCAACGCCTTTATATTTAAGTTGGCATAAAAATAAACCAAAAATGTTTTGTCAATTCTCTCTCTTCTTTCTTCCAGACTTTAACAACAAATTGAAAGAATAACAACACAAAAAGCCAAAAATGCCGAAAAAGGGGGAAAAATCTTTCTCTAAAAATTTAAAAAGGGAAAAAACTAGTCCAAGAAACATAAAAAATAAATTTTTTTCTTTAAAAAACGTCTAACTTTTCCATTTTTTACAGAAATTTTCTTCTATCAATTCTGTTTCTTTTTTTAATTTATGAATAAAATTTAAATAAAAAACCTTATTTATTCAAAAAATTAATTTTGACAATTTCCATTTTTTGTTACAATTTAATGTCAATTAAAAAATTTAAAGTTTAAAAGAAAATACCTATTTCTTTTTTATTTATTCTAATTATTTTTAAAAAATATCACAAAATTTGTATTGAACTTTTCCGGCTATAATAACTTTAAATTATTATTATTATCCCTTTTTCAGAAATTATTTTAAAAAGTTTAAAAATAATTTGTATTATTTGAGAATATTCTTTCAATTAAAGAAGGTTTTAATTTCACATTTTACTGGAAAAAGAACATAAAGCCGTTATATGTATAATAAGTCCATTCTAACAAAAATACTTATATATTTATTATTTTTTATTAATTTTCTAAAGTTTATCTACGTCTTCTTATTAGTTATTTTTAAAATATATTTTTATAATTTTTTATAAAATAAAAAAAAATAAAATTACTTCCGGTACATACTTATAATATTAAAATTCCTTTAATTAAAAATTTTCTTTTCAATTATTTTAAATAATACATTAACACAAAACTAGTATATTTAATTTAAAATTAATTTTGAGAAATTCTTGTATATATTTAATAATTTTAAGCCAAATTTAATGAACCTTTCAATGATCGCGTGCCGAACATTTTTTTTAAATATAATTATTTATTTAAATATTTTTGTGTTACCATTGACAACAATTAATTTTTATAAGAATGTCCTTTCTTTATTTTACTTTTCCGTATTAATTTTAAGTTTTTTAATTCTCCATTTTTTACAAGAAAATTAAATTTGTATGTATTTAATTTTAAATAAAGTAATATTTAAGTAAAGAATTTTAAGGCAAAATTATTCATTTCTAGAGAAATATCACATTTATTTTATTAAAAATAAAGGAGAAATACTGACTTTAAATTTAAAAATTTTTAAATATTTTTTCGAATACTTGTGTTTAATTTAAAAACTAAAGAAATATAAAAAATAAATTAAAATTTTTGATTCTAGTTTAAATAAATTTCAAAACAATTAAGATTCTTTTCGGGAAATTTAAAATTCCTTGCTTGGTTAGCGCCGCCTGTTCAATGTTTAACCCAAATAAACTGGTAATATTGTATATATTTTTAATAAAATATAATTATTAAATACTTTAATTAGTACTCTATTAATGCTTTCAGAATAGGGTGTTGATACTAATAAATGCTTTAGATATTCGAAAAATAACAAAAAAATCCTTCTATATAGTTGAGAAATTAATTAAAACTATAACCAATTAGATAATTTCTATCTAAAAATCTTTCTCAGTGTGAACTTCCAGCTGAAGCTGAACAAATTCTTGGCCCCGATGTTTGGGGGAAGATGAATGAAATTAAAAACAATTCCTCTCTCTCAATTCAAGACAAACGTGTTCAAATTCATCAATTGTTTGCTACTTTGCCTGACGGGACTATAGACAAATTGCCGTTACCAAAAGAATGTGAAAATTTGCCGGCTGATGTTATTTTTTACTAAAATCTAAAAATTAATTTTAACTTTTAATCTTGAATTAAGGTTCGTGAAAAAATAAAAGCACTTTGGCGTCAACATGATTTGCCAATTGAAAAGAAAAAAGAGCAATTTGAAGCTTTGATTAAAACACTTTCGCCAGAACTTCAAAAGCAATTGTGTGGACAAATGTGTGGGTAAATTGAAGGAAAGGAAGGAAGGAAGTACATTAAAGAGGAAAATGATTTTAAATATATTTTGATAAGAAAAAAATGAAATTCTTTGATATTAAAAATTAAACATTTAATGTAAAATATATCAGTAATTGTACTATTTTCTCGGTAAAAAAATTAATTAACCATACCAAAAAATATAACAAACATTCTTGTATTATTTAGTATGTATTAATTGATATTTTGGTTAAAATGGATAAATTTTTGTAAAAAAAATTTTTTTAATATTTTGTTTGATTTTGTATTCTTTAATTATTGTAAAGTTAAACAGTTAAAACATTAAATAACAAAATTTGATAAAATTTTATCTTAACGTTAACACAAGTAATTAAAATTTAACTAAATATTTAATATTATATTTAAATTTTCCAATAATAATTTATGTAATTATTTAAAAAATTAAAAAATTATTAAAAATAATTAAAAATAATTATTATTTAAGAAATAATTATTATTTTTTAAAATAATTCATGTGTTTGTATTACTAAACTACAATTGATAAATAAATATAGTCTCCTTATCAATTATTTAGAAACATACCAAGTTGTTGGCTCCCTATTCTGATATTTTGTTTATTCTTAAATAATAATGTTTTCCTATTCCCTCAAAAACATAATTTAAATATTACTTATCAATTTATTTTTAAAATTCTTCTTCCTCATTGTAAACTCTTTAAATAATTCTTTATTAAATTTAAAATATTCCCCATAAACATGTGCTTCTCTTTCTTCTAAACAAGTCCAATTCAAACCATTCCCTTTAAACATTCCTTATCTAAAAATTCAAACATTAAATAAACTTTTACATCTGTCTTTCCACCTTATATTCAACTCCGGCCTTTTCTGTTCCGCCTTTCTTGTTTCTCATTAAATTTACCTTCCATTAACCTTAATTTGAACTGAACGTTGTATTGAACTAAACTTTAGTAATTGAAAATAAATTTGTTATTGAAAGATTGTGTTCATTAATTGAGTTAATATAGATTAGAAATATAAACTAAGAAACCTCAACTAGAGTTTGAGAGAAAAATACAAATAAAATAATTAAATTAGAACCGGGACCTTAATACAAGTATACATTTAATATTTAATTTAAAAATAAATAAAGGAAACAATGTTTTTAATTTTAATTCTTTTATTTTTAATAATATTATCATTTTGGAATTTTATTTGGAAACGTCGTAATCTACCTCCAGGACCAACTCCTTTACCAATTTTTGGAAATGCTTTTGCAATGGATAGGTTAAAATAATTATTACCTATTTTAATTATAAGAGACTTAGGTTAATTTATGAACAATTCCAAATTTGGGCAAAAGAATTTGGGCCAGTTTACACAATTTGGATGGGTGAAGTACCTATAGTTATGGTTACTGATTACGAATTAATTCGTGATTTGTTTGTTAAAGAAGGGGATATTTATGCTGGAAGGCATTTTTTGGTAGATTTGTTTCAGGAATTTAGAGGTTTGTTTGTAATAATATTTATGTTTGGAAGGAAATTTGAATAAAACTTTCATATAGGGAAGTTTAGGAGTTCAAAAATTCTAACTTTTTCTAGACTCTTATCAGGGTATAAGAAATATAACCAATTCCATAACTCAAAAATGAAACAAAATTATTACAATAATAAAAAGAAAAACTTAAATTATTTAAAAATAGCTGCCAAAAATCTGAAAGGAGGGGTAACACGAATGGAAGGAGAACAATGGAAAATTATTCGTCGTTTTGGCCTCCAATCTATGCGAAATTTGGGTGTTGGAAAGAATGAACTTGAAAATAAATTAATTAAAGATTTACAAAATTTTATTGAAAAATTAAAAGGAGAATTAAAAACAAATATTACCGGAGAAATTAATTTACAAAAATATATTGACAGAATTGTTGGCTCGACAATTAATCGTCTTCTCTTTGGTTATGCTTTTGAAGATGTTATTTTTTTATTAAAGATTTTTGTATTCGATTCTGATTTTAGGAACAAATAAACGAATTTTATGAATTAAAATATATTATGGATAATGAACTTGAATTATTATCAAGTATTACTGGCCGAATGTTGTTATCCATGCCTGGTTTACGTTATTTACCTGTCTTTTCAAAGACATTTAAATTATTGGATGATAATATAGAAAAAGTTTTTGTTTATATAAATAGAATAGTTCATGAAAGAATTAATAAAATGAAATTTGGAGAAAATGAAGAACCAAAGGATTTACTTGATTATTTTTTAAAACAATCAGAAGAAGCAAAAAATGCTAATTGGTCTGAAGAGAAAAAAGAAAACTTTGAGTGAGTGCCGCAAAAATTTTGTTTTCGGGAACTTTGGGCACAAAAAATACCTAAATCACATTCACTCTCTCGAATATTTAATTTTAAAGTTTGAAGAATTTGGCACCTTTTTCATTTGATTTATTTATTGCTGGACAGGAAACAACAGCAAAAACACTTGGTTTTCTAGTTTTATATTTGTTATTAGATCAGCGAGTTCAGAAAAAATTGCATAAAGAATTGGACAATTTAAGAGAAGAAAAAATTAAAAATGGTTTTGATGCTTATTTTACAATGAGTGATAGAAC